AAGTATTGCGGCCCGGCACCTATATCTTGGAAAGCCTCTCCGGCAAAAAGGTTCAGCATCCATGGAATGTAGAATAGTTAAAGCTGTACTACCAATAATGTATGTAGTTTTTTAAACGCATCTTAGTTACATTTTTGGCAATATAAATAAATTATGAATTTATAGTAATATTGTCCAAAAGTAAGAAGAATTCACCCCTCGAATAAACTTGTATGCTTAAAAAATCAAGGTATATTAAACATACAAGGGGGGCAATAAGGGATCTACGGATCACCGGCAAAAAACTTAGAAAATTTTACAAAATTTTCGAATGCGACGACCCTAAGGGACAAAAGCTAACGCTGACTCTTCCAAGGAAGAAAGGCGAGGAAACACTTAGAAAATTTTACGAAATTTTCTAAGGCGACTACCCCAAGGGGCAAAAGCTAACGCCGACTCTTTCAAGGAAGAAAGGCGAGGAAAAACATAGAAAATTTTATGAAATTTTCCAAGGCGACGACCCCAAGGGGCAAGAGGTAACACCGACTCTTCCAAAGAAGAAAGACGAAGAAAAACTTATGAAATTTTATGAAATTTTCTAAAGATAAACGACCCCAAGGGGTAAAATCAAGAACGACTCCTTCAAGAGGGAGAGGCGAATGCATAATAAACAAATGAGCAAGGTATGAAATCTACTGGCTTTTTATAAAACACAAATGAAATAAAAAGAGGTTCAAACCAATGTCATATTAGTTACCGACAGTAGTTAAAAAAATTAAAAAAATCTTTAGGCCTCGCCGCCAACCGCCGAGTCATCACTAGGCGGGGAAGAGTTGTCGTCGCCAATAGGAGGAGGAGCATCATAAAGGAAGCCCAAGTCCCATTCAGGATGCTCTTGTTTTATCAAATCGACGATTTGTTGACCAGCGGATTAAAAATCCTTGGTACGAATGTCGATGAGCTCCGGAGAAGCCGTGAACTCCTCAATAATCTCTGCACGTTTGGCATCAAAAACTGCTGCAGCCTCGGCTTCGGCTTCTTTCTTCCCCTCAGCCTTTCCCTTAGCAAAACGTCTCTTCACCGCCTCAGTTGCTTCTGCCAACTTTATCTCGTATGTATCTACTCGCTTTGTAAGGTCCTCAACTGAGGCGGTTAGCCTAGCCAGTTTATCTTCCAGACTCTTCAATTTGGCCACGGCCATATCTCTCTCCTCGGCGGCGTTCGTACATTTAGTCTTTGCATCATCGAGAAGAGAGTTAAGCTCGGCCTTTACGATGTCCATCCCTTTATCCCGCTCCTCAACCTTAACTAGGTCGAGAAGGTTGAGAATGGCGAGGATTAGGCCCTAAAAAATTGGAGGTCAGAAAATAAGGATACAAAGCGGCAAAACCAGCAAAAATAAAAGGTAGCTCGATCAAGTCTTACGTGAATTTGGAAGGAGATCTGCTTTCACTGGCAATCAACCAAAGAAGATTGAGTGGCAGCAACCTAGTGCAGCTCGAGAAAAGATTCATACAGAGCCTGGAAGACAAGGGAGAAGCGAGGGGAAAGTTTCAGCATCGCCCCAATCTCGGCGTCAGAGACGTCCGGAACTTGGAAATTAGGATCCATAATTTTTACCTCAGGGATAAGCACGCGTTCCCTCGGCGCCAAAGGAACGTTTACGTCAGGAATGGGGACCGTCGGCGTCCAAGTTTCTACCACCGGCGTCTTCTCTTTGTGCCTCTTTTTTTGCGCAGGATCCACCTCTGATGCCGAGGGGACCTTTGTGGCTTTTCTTTTCCTCGGCGCCTGATAGGAAGAGCTAGCTTTCTCCTTTCCCTTAGAAAGAGGTTGTTGGCTCGGCGGGGGCTGCTAACCTGGTTCAGACGGTTGGCTGCCAGGGAGCTGGATCCTCAAAGATGCCATTTCTACAGAGGCGACGAGACAAAAATATGGTCGACACTTGGATAAACAAAATGCCATTATAAGAAGGGCGTCGGGAACAGGGGTTTACCTTCGTCGCTTAAATGGAAGTATTCGCGGACAGTGTCGAGGTCGGTGGGGTCTGGGAGATCAAGAATTAACCCAGCACTTCAAAGATTGGCCTGGGTCAGGAGGGTGTCAATATGGCGAACCTCGGACGAGAATGAGAAGGCCTTCTCAATCCTCACCAAACTGTTTCTGGAGAACTTTGGCCGGTCCTGACTGATTGTAGGATAAAAAGACTGTTAGCGTAAGAAATGAGAAAGCGAAGTAAGGTGAAAGAAAGGGAATCAAAGTCTCACCCATGTTCCAAAACGATGCCTGTACCTTCCTTCGGCAGGGCAAGCAGTCGTCGGGATGAAAATTAAAGGGGTCGCGTATCATAAAAAATATGGGTTTCCACCCATGTGACGACGAGGGAATGCCTAGAATTAGCTTGCCAAATATGGGCTGAGATATCCCGTGTCCACTCAGAAAATACCACCCCTCGTACTTGGCAACATGGCACAGTCTGTACATGAATCTAAACTCATCCAGAGGAAGATCCATGTCAAACTACTGGTTCCACAAGATCCAGGCGCCAGCAAAGCAGTACCAGAAATTTGGCGCCAGTTGGGCAGGGGAAATGCCGTAAAAGTGGCAATAATCTTTTACGAAGAGATGAACCGGAAGGGTCATCCTCGCAGTAACGGCCCTGGTATAGATAGGGAGGAACCCGGTCGAGGGCATACTAGTCTTAAAATGCATGTCTGGGAGGAGGTATTCGAACCACCTCCCGTCAATGCATCCTTCCTTCACCGCCCGGATGATGTTCTTATTCCGGACTCTCGACACCACGGTGTCAGCTGTGAAGGAAGGCCGATCTGGGTCTCCGCTTGTAGCAGCCAGCGGGGCATCCACGAGAGAAGCGGCGACCCCACACACGCTGCCACCTATAAAAGGCCTCCTATCGACGTCTTCGTCGATCATTCGGCAGACGCTGTCATAAGTATCGCTCCCGTCGTCGCCTGGGCCGGCCATATGTTCCTCAACTTCCCGCAACAGTGAGTCGCAGTGCGACGAGGAAGATGACCATGAAATCTCCGCCACAAAAGGGGAGTCTGGTCGTACAACAGACAGTTCCTCTTGACGGGTGTTTTTTGGGGCCATTGTTCTGGTAATAAAAAGACAAGGAGCTACATCAAAATCCTAAGTCGAGAGGAAGGAAAGAATGGTGGTTATTCTAAGCGACGACCATTCTGGACAATGACTGTGGAAACACCTCAACATAACGCCGACCATTCATATGAAAATGGTGATGGCAAATGCTCGTGACAACCAAGGTTCACCAGAACCCAGAAGCTAGACTCGCATTCAACCAGGAAGCAGGAAAAACTACCCTATGTGGTTCAAGTAAAGCATAAAAAGCTACTGTCCTCTACATTTCGCATATCAACACCTATGATTCATTGGGAAAGCCAGTAAAATCATCCAGCAACGCAAATAAACAACGATTAAAGCTTACCAGTGAGTTGGAGTCTGGACGGAGTTTTGAAACCGAGTAGCTTCACGATACACCAAAGGAAGTAGGGAGCACAAATCGGAGATTCGCAGGGAGAAATTCAGGCAGAGTAACGGCGGGTCTAAGGAATTTGTTTGGAGAGAATGACTTCGGTTTAGAGAATATTTAAAGAAAAACAGGCCTTCGACCCCTGACCATCAGATGAGGCTTGTGGAGATCCAACGGAAGGGGTAATTTTTCCAGATCGAACGACAGCAAAGCAAAGACAGGAAAACAAAGGGGCGCGATCCAAGGGCTCACATACATCCTTTCGAAATAAGGCCTGACGTCAGCATAGGGAAGTGACCGACGCGACGGTTATGTTCCTCAAGAAAATCCGAAGCATCCAGACCATCATTACGGGCGAAGGCTCGGGACCGGTTTCCCACACCCGAAGCACGGAAGGACGACCGAACCTAAGCTCGAGGCTGTCCAAAAGAAACCCTCGACCTAGGGGGTAGCTATTATGGGGGAAAATATGGAGGACACGTGGAGGGTGGATAACATGACACGTGGCCTTAACCTCTCCTCGCAAAGCAGAACCCTCGACGTCTAGGACCCCTTTCCCTTCCGTCGTTTAGAGCCCGAGTAAGAAGCCCAACTTAGGGCGTCGATTTCATCTGACGTCGACAGGTCGTACCGTCGACCTTACAACATAGAAGTCCACCGCCAAGAAGAACAATTGGGCTAAACAACACTGGCGACGAGGGGAATGCTCCTTGAGGGAAAGCCTGACGTGGCAAACTGCGTAAGGGATGTCCACAGTACAGGCATTAAATGCAAACCCCTAAACCGCCCCTACGGGGGACAGAAAAGGGTTACAACTGTGCATAGAGCCATAATGGGAGACTAATTGGCTGAGTGAACAGTGCGTAAAAAGTGATTAGTGGGCTACGGGCTGGGCCTAGAAAGACAGACCACTTGAGTGCTTGTTCAGCCTACAGGAGAAAACCCCTCCAACGAAGGAAGCTCGGCTATAAAAGGAGAGAAACCTCATACGGAAAGGAGGTTGATCTTTTCTGAGAAAGAAAGAACGAAAGAGCATATTGTAAATTGTAACAATCTTAAAAAGGAATAACAAACCATAGTGGATGTAGCACTTTATTTCATAAGAATGAACCATTATAAATCTTGTGCGTTTTCTTACTTTAAGTATTTTTTCTTATATTGCCTACTACACAAAAAATACCACAAGCACATCAAACTCCTACATATAACCTATTTTTAAGCCAGTAATCTAACTGGAAACCCAGAGATAAACCGGCATGTTTTTATTGGCGAAAATTCACCGTCAAGACTATCCATTCGGTTGCATTATACACATTCGCATCCAGCCAACGGTTTAGCTAGCCTCAAGTGGCAACTAGCTTGCTCTGTCCTTACCTAGTCAAGTCAACTATCCCTTTCCCTAAACCAAAATATAAAAGTTCATTCCTAGCTACACTCAATTCAAACTGATAGTTTAAAAATTTTTTTTTTTTTTTTTTTTTTTTTTTTTTTTCTCAAAAAATATCAGTGGAAGAATTGGGAATCAAAGAGTTATTGCCACCGTATGCGGATCCAAACCTAAAACCAGAGGACCTCCTCACTGGCGTCTGCTTCGCTGTTGGAGGTGTAGGATATGATGATTTCACGTCAAAACTTGCGGTAATTGCTCTTTTTTCCCCTTTTAATCCCAATGAAAATTAATAATATTCAAAATCTCAGCAGATTTATACTCATCATTTGTCAAGCTTTGTTAAATTTTGAAGTCTTTTCTTTTCCCCTGGCCAAGCAGTCTGTTCCACTACTATCTGACCAATTGGAGAAATTCAAAGAATACATAAAGAAGTTGAAAGGAATTGTGGGAGTAGAAAGAACAAACTTCATCATCGCTAATAGCATCCATTTCGTGGTATTAAGCAGTAATGATATTGCAAATACCTACTTTTCTACAAAGACAAGGAGTTTGCAGTACGATATTTCTTCTTACACGGACCTTATGGTCAATCATGCTTCTAAATTCTTTCAGGTATTTTAAGTAAAACTTATGCTATATAATATTAACGTGTTTAAATTGAAATATAAAAATTTGCTGGAATGTTTTAAAAATAAGATAATTACACAGTAATTATTGTAATGATTTTTACTTTTTATATTACAATATTACATAGTAATTACTATAATGATATGAATTTTGCTAGTCGTAAAATGTTATTTATGTTTTGTTATATTTCAACATGACCAAAAAAGTTGCCCTATATGTTTAAAATTCCCTATTTTTAAATCATGAGAAACTACATGAAACAAAACATATAAAGTAATAAATTCATATATCATAATTAACAACTGAATATCTAGCTGATTAAACATAAGTAATAAACCCCATTTTGCTCTTAAATAATCATGAATACAATTAATGTTTGGGCAGTTTGTAAATAAAACAAAAAGGAGGATTCAGATTTCAACCCATCACTGGCCGAGTCCAGTGAAAGTATGAAATACTAGAAAGACGTGTTTATACTATAGTTGTGTATCTTATATGTAAATTTTTTTTTGTAAATTATTGGAAGGAATTGTACGGACTGGGGGTACGAAGATTGGGAGTTCTTGGCGCACCGCCAATTGGGTGCGTGCCATCACAACGAACTATAGGAGGAGGCCTGGAAAGAAATTGTTTTGAGCAAGAGAACGAAGCAGCAAAATTGTTCAACTCCAAACTCTCTGCAGAGCTCGATAACCTTAACAAAGACAGGCCTGACGCTCGGCTGGTCTATATTGATATCTACTATCCACTACTTAATCTCATCCAAAACCCCACTAAAAACGGTAATATTTCATTTTTGTTAGTGTATAAAATACAATCAGTCAGAATTAGAATTGAGAAATTCTACTATAAGAAATGTTATTTTTCAATATCAGTAGCTATTGTTATTTTAGCAGTTGAATTATTTTTTTTTAATGATTTGATGTTTAAATGAGAGTAATTTTATGTCACGTGTCGTAAACTAACATATCCACTCGTAGATCAGATTATTAACAAATTAAGTCAATAGTTAAAATAGTAATTTTTATGGATGGTGAAAAATAAAAAACAGTTTATACCATAAAACTTTCCAAGTAACATATATTTTAGAACGAAATCTTTCCATTTTCGGTTATTTATTTATTTATTTTATTCACGTCTCTTTTTGATTTTGTTTTTTTTTTTCCCTTCTTTGATTTGAATATGATCAGGTTTCAAGATTGTAAACAAAGGGTGCTGCGGAACTGGGCTCATAGAGGCAGCACTGACGTGTAACGCACTGGACACTACATGCAAGGACGATAGCATTTATGTGTTTTGGGATGCTTACCATCCAACGGAGAGAGCATACAAACTCATCGTCAGCCAAATCATTTCCAAATACGTCAATGAATTTGTATAAAAACCGATTTTTTCTTTAAAAAAAAAAAAAGGGAAAACCAATCTAATTTGTTTACCTATTATTGTTATTGTTGTTATTATTATTAGCTCCCAAATGTATCTAAATTTAAATCAATGAAATCAGCCAAACCTGATTTGTTTACTTTATCAATTTTCTCGTGAGCAATCGTAGGTCAGATAAATGCTTGATGGGATTATTCCATCACATTACTACAGTTACATGTTGTCGTTTTATTTTGCTGAGGACGATATATAATGTTAATACATTACCAAGTCTCAAATTGAATAGATAAAAATGTTTTTTTTTTTTTTTTAATTGAAGAAGAGAGATTTTCATTTTAACAACAAAGTAATAGAAATAGTACAATTGATTTGAATGACTCCAAAATACTTTGTGTTGTGTATCTTATATGTATAATATTAGGTATCTCAATCCCTAATAATGATCAATTTTATGGATGAAATTGAAGGAGAATAAAAAATGTCTTAAAGGCACAACCAAATTTTCAGTACACATGTGGCCCATTAGCAATACCTGTAATTATGGACGGAACCAATTAAGACTCAAATTCCTCATTCGACTTTTTCATTTTTTCAAAATGTATATATAAATAGTTGTCATAATTTTATTAGTTGTCATAATTTTTATAGTCAACTATCTAATTTATTATAACTGTTGGATCAATATCTTACAGTTAAAATAATGATATCTATTAATGAGTAAATAATAAAATAAATATTAAAACCACACTTATATATATAATATATATGTATAGCCTCCATTAAAAGTTAAAAATTTAATTGTATTGCCCCATTATAATTTTACTCCATTATTAGTCCCCATTCCATTGTCCACAATCAATGAAAACTTATGAACAATTGAGAGTCAAGAAACGCCAACCATACAGACACCAACAACGCCAAACAAACGACTTGAACGGGTTGGCCATGCAAACAAAATCGAAAGGTACTTGAAAACGACGTCTGATAAACAATGCTCGTATAACTATTTTGTTTTCTAAATGTCTTAACCGTGCGACACTTTATGGCGTGAGATGTGAATCTGTAACACCCTAAAAAATTAAATGAGATTAATTGAGGTAATTAAGATTTATTAGTACACCTAATTTGATTTAATTAATTGAGTTTTGATTAATAAATGTTTTTGATGTGTAATTTAAATAGTTCCAATGTATTTAAATATTCTCAGTATTTTATTTTAATCTAAAAGTGTGTATGAGCGCATTCAGGACTGTTTTTTTAAAATGTTGACACTTGTCTATTTTTTTTTTCTTTTCTTTCTTTTCTTTTCTCTTTCTTTTCTCGTACACACACACACACACACACACACACACACACACACACACTCACTCTTTCTCTCGTTCCCTCACTCTCTCTCTTCCATTTCACTTCAAAATCAACCTGAATTTCGAACCAAAGGAAAGTTTCAAGAAGTTTCAACGTCAAGAGAAGGATTCAAGGTAATATTTCTGAAAAACCTCTCTTGAAATCTCAAGTTTTCGGATTTAAAAGCTTGTTTCTGGTTCGAAATAGATTTTGATGGATATTGAGTAAAACCATGGTAGAAATTGGAGATCTTGGGTTCTTTGGATTTGTTTTAGGACCTAGAACCCAGATCTAGTGGTATTCCTTTGAAATATGTTGATTTGGAACTGAAATCGCAGGTTTTTGGGCTGATTCCACCGGTTTTCTTCGCCTACTGTTCTTCACAAGTCGACCTGTGAGTCGACCGGACCGGTCGACCGGACTGCATTAGGCTACCGGTCGACCTATGCGGTCGACCGAATTGCACACCACCGGTCGACCGGTGGTGTTGCACTACTCTGTCACCGGTTGAACGGTGTACACTGGGTTTGACCTTATTGGGCCTGAAAATGCTGTTTTGACCTCTGTTTTCGAGGAGAACCTAAATTAGCTTCATTTGGGGACCCAGAGTAAATGGATTAGCATCTTTAATCCATGTTTTGGAATTAAAATCCTTGGAATGATGATTTGAAATATGAAATTAATTATGGCACACTAATAGGAAATTAAAGGGATATGATTGAGTCTGAATTACTTTAGAAATGAGATTGGAATCCTAAAGTATTGTCAGGCGTGCACCTATCCCCACATTTAAGAGTGAGGGAGGACCTCAAGAAGTGGATTTCTGGTTAGACTCCATAGTTAAGCACTTAGATACTATGGGAGTGCCGGAGGAATACCGGATAGAATTCGAGGTATATAAGATGGAAGGCCAAGCAATCCCTTAGAGTTACAGGGATCAGAAGGCATTGGAGTTTATGACCTTGCAACAGGGTGATATGTCAATAAGGGAATATGAGGCTAAGTTTAATGACTTGTCCCGCTTTGTGCCATCTCTAGTGGAATCTGAGCATTTGAAATGTCTGAAGTTTGAGAAAGGTCTAAAAAATAAAGTAAGGAGACCCTTAGTGCCTCTAAGGATCCAAAATTTTTGAGGCCTGGTGGATGCTGCTACAAGCGTAGAACAAGATAACTTGACCTATCAGCAAAGTAAGGAAGCAGCTGGTCGAGTTTCTGCTTCGGGTGGACCCTTTGCTCCGGGTGGGCCACAACGGAGCGGTAGAAGAAACTGTTGGTCTCCGAATCGAATTCGGATGCGGAAGCGTGTGCGGGGAAGGGAGGCGGATCGTGTATAACAAAAATTTTCATAAAACTTTTGAGATACTCTATAGATTATATTAATTTATGCACGAATAAATTAATCTCATTAATTCATTTATTAAGAACTCAATCAGGAAAAATACCTGGAAGCCGATTCTGACGATAACTTGAGTTCTTTGACCACGAACAGTCCTTGCTCCAATCTTTGTGTTTAGAAAACTAATGTCTTCCACGTCAATTCTTAGAATCCGCGAAGACGTGTGTGTGGACACACATGAGACAAAACGGGTTACAATAAACACTCGAATTTCCACAAACACCAATGCATGCACGATGTGGAATTTTTGGAGAAAATTTTTTTCCTTCCTTTCTCTCTTGAGAATTTTGGCCAGCCTTAACTTTTAGGGCAGAAAAATTGTTTCAAAAATTGTCTTCACAATTTTCTATCATTCTCATATTTAAAGAGTAGAAGTCAAACTTTAAAAAGGAATCAAATCTCCATCTGTAAGATAAAGCTTGTTAATTATCTCCTATTTGAATTTGAAACAAAATCTCCTCTTATCCTTATCCATTATGGCCGGCCACCTTAGGGGATTTTCATCCCTGTGTGGTGCCAATTTGCAGATAGGGAAGGAAGAGAAAATCATCCTTTATCCTGTAGTCCAATTTTGACTCAAATTCAAATTCCAATTTAAGTCAAACTTAAATTAATTTGAATTCTAAATTGAACAACATATCAAATAAGTTTAAATGGATAAATCTAGATGTGTTCAAATTCAAATTTAAAAAATCACATTATTTAAATAATAATTAATTCTCAATTAATTATTTTCGAGTATTTAATTTTAGAATT